TAGAGTGGTAGATGGGTGGAACAAGTTAAGTGAGAAGGTGGTGGAGGCCAAGACCGTCAGTAGTTTCAAAGCGTTATATGACAAAGAGTGCTGGGAAGACGGGACACCACGAGCGTAGCTCTCATCCTGTAACTACACTTAGGTAATTACACTTAGGTAATTACAGGCGGGTAAAGGCACCACATAGAATGGGAGACGCCGAGACATCGCCGACGCGAAGATGTCCATGTCCAGGCGTCCGTACATTTGGCAGAGCCAACAAAATGAGTTGACGACGACCGGCCAAACCGTGAACAGAGGAAAGAACCGAGACAGGCCGTCCGCCAGGCTGTAGGACACCCCAGACATGAAATGCCCAGCTAGCCAAACCCCGAGGATCCAGCAGACGAGCCACTCAAAGGGACAAACCCCAAAGGTCAAGGACCTAAGAGAATCCCTGTGGTTCCGGCAATGAACCACCGAAAAACAGTTTGAATGGAACCGGATGGGAGAGCCCCGAGTGACCCGAACCCTCCGAAGCGCAAACCAACCAGACAGCCACGAATTCCTGAACCGTGCTGTGAGCCCAATGGATGGACAGATCACACCATCCCTGGCCGGCCTGGTGAGCACTGGCCACAAAGCCCTAGCCAAGAGATGACCCATCCGTGAACACATCGAGCGAAGGCTCAGGGAGGCGCCAAGGCACAAAACCCGGAAAACCCCAAAGAGGAGGCCAGTGACACAGCACTAACACAAGATCCGCGGAGAATGAACCCAATGATTGCGAGAGACGGAAGGGGAGTCCCCGAAGGAACTGAACAGACGCCGAAGCCAAACCCTACCCGATGGGCAGATAAGCACGGCGAAGTTGAGACTCCCGCACAACCACTTGAGCAACCGCTGAGTGACCCGGGACCCCCTCATAAACAGCCGCAGGCAGGACCACAGCCACAGCAACGCTTCTGAAGGGAAAGACAAAGAAAGACACATATACACATATATACATACATACTTTCATACACAAAATGTATAAAAAACATACATTTAAGTAAAATTGAAAAATTAAAGAAAAGAAAAAGACAAGCCATCGACTGGTGGGCAGAGAGCATTACGCCAGCCAGATGAAGAAGGCACCAAGAGAGCACAAAAACTGCACCAAAACGCCCATCTCGACAACAAAAACCCAAAGCCCTGGCACGACCACAACACGTGCCAAGACCCAAAAAGATCAGCCTGCAAGCCAGGAAGACCCTGGAACCCCAGAAGATAGAACCGGGTCACAAACGAGGTAGCAAAGCCCCTTTAAACCCACAAAGGGGGCCCAAGAGGAAGAAACCTCCGGAACAAAACCAAAAAACCCATAGGAACCTGAAATCGAACCCGGGGAAACCTAAACTACCACATTTGCCAATGTTTTGCACCACTAAAGGGTAAAGCACAGCACCCAGACAGAACCCCCAGGAAAACGGCCAAAACAGACCAAAAACCGAGGGACAAGGTGTAACAAGCGTAAACAGACAGTGACAGAGCCCAAACCCTAGGGCCCAAATCCAAAACAGACAGAAAATGCAAAAACCGGTGTAAAAACCAACACCCAAGCATTCCCAAAGGAACAGAAGACGGGTAGAACATCCCAGAATAACAAAGAAACAGCAACAGGAGGATAAAACCCATGAAAGGAGGTGAAAACTCGCCCAAAAACGCCAGCTCGCACAACCAGGCATCAGTAAACAAACGACAGCACCGCCAGTGTCTAAGCAGAGAGTTATCCACAGAAAATAAAATGGCCATCAAAACAAAGGAGCCCTGACCAATGCAATAGAGCCAAACACACACCAGCAAATGTGGGAAGCAAGCAGACTAGAGGGACGAAAAACCCTGCCCAGACGCAGAAAACCCAGGCAGGGGGAAACAGCCCCAGAACTGCAAGCAGGCATCCCCCACAGCCCTGAGAACCCACAACAGAGGCCCCGGGGCAGAGCCGTCCTCCACACCCTCCGCCCTTAAATAAAAGGAAGAGTCCAGGGGAAAGGCAGCAAAGATGGGCCTCTGGTAAGACCCAGAAGCCTTGGCAGAAGGAACAGGCTTGAAAACCTCCGTCCTCAACCCGAACATGGTAGCCCTCGAAGCCGCCTGAGTCTCGGCTCCAACTAAACCCCGCCCCGACCCCGAAACCTGAAAAGGTTCAGAGCCGGGAACAGGGAGGGAAGGGGCGAACAGCACCTAACCAAAATGGGGCGGCCTTGGGGCATCCAGGTGGAAAACCAACCTAGCGTGTTGCAGCAATCTAAACCAAGCTTGCATTGCGGATGACGCCTGCACTCTGAACAGTAATAACATCAGGAAAGTACTGGAGAACAAGCATAGAACACACCAACAGGCAGAATGACGGAGGTAAAAGTGGTGACTGTCACCCTGAGACAAGAACACAGCAACCAACGAACCCGCACAAGACGGGATGGAACCCAGAAGACTCATTCAATGGTCCACCGAGCCCCGACAGGGTTTTCCAGGGCCCGTAGACTGACTGCTACGGGAAGCCCGGGCAAGGTGTTGCTAACCGGTTAAATACCCAAGCCAACAAGGGGATGCAACACTGAAAACCCCTGCGACGTGTACAATCATGGGGGCCTAGCAGAGGGCCACCAAACACTACCAGTGGAACAATAGCCACACTAGGCAGACCCCCACCAGGCAAATTAAAAGAAAAGAGAAAAACCCCGCAAAAGTACACCGTCCCCCAGAAGTAACAGGTACCGGTCGCTGCATAGGTGGTAGGTCGTGCAACACTTTGACTCCTTAACCAGCACAATACCAGTCCCTACCCAGGACCAAACAAGGGCCCCAAGCCCCAGCCGGCCTCAAGGAGCCCCAGCTGGCCCCAAGGGCGAGGCAAATGCTGAGCAGCAAGAACCTCTACAGAAATGGTTCCCGAACGCCCTAGGGAACGCACCCTGTCGTGCAGGGGCAGTACTCACAGGGCGTTTAGGGAAGGAAGCCCCTAAGCGCATGCAGTCCCAGTACTGATGAGGAACTCCTGGCCACTGCACAACTCAACACATGGCAGTGAACGCCACGAAAGGCAAACACCGCCTAGGAAACTGAGGCCAGAGAAACATCTGTCCCAGTTGACTTTAGCTTACAAACTGGTGCTAGGCGGCCGGCGCGATGAGGTCCGGGGACCCCCCTCCCCCTCTTGGGGCGGGGAGGGCTGAACGGACAATCGGCGGAGCAGTAAATTTTGATGTTTGCTTGTTTCCTTGGGATTGTAGGGTGTTTCTACCTCTCTGTTTGTTTTTTTGTTTTAGTTTCTTACTACGTGGGGTTTGTTTTGTTATGCCTACCTTTCTGGGTGCCTAACCCCGGTCGATGGCAGATAAGGAAAACCCCCAACCACAAGGGGGTTTTCCAGGGCCATTGCTCCCTGAAACCTCTCTGAAAGGGCCAGGTTCTGGCGCTGGTCCCTGGTAGGTCTGAACTCCATAGCTAATGTCCCCGGTCTAATATAACATACATTAGCCTGATAAGCTCCAGGGAGCCATAGGGGCTCCCCACAGAAAAGATGGCTGTCACCTTGAGAAAAGGGCACACAGCAGCTTTTGAACCCGTATGAGGTGAGCAGGAACTCGGAAGACGCATCCATAGGTTCACTGAATCCCAACAGGGTTTTTCAGGGTCCGTAAGCTGCCTGCTACAGGAAGCCCGGGCAAGATGTTGCTAACTGGTTAAGACCCAACGCTAACAAGGGGGGGGGGGTATCAAAACACTGAAACCCCTGCGATGATACAATCACAGGGCCACCAAAATATTATAAGTGGAATTATAGCCACACCAGGCAGACCCTTTCCAGGCAAGTAAACAAAAACAAAAGAAAAACCATGCAAAAGTGCAACATCCCCAGAGGAAACAGGAACCAGCCACCGTGTAGGTAGGCAAACTGCACAACACCTTGACATTTCAACCAGCACTATATCACTCCCTCCCCAAGGCCAAATAAGGGACACAAAACCCCAGCTGGCCCCAAGGACGGCGTAAATGTCGAGCAGCATAAACCCTAATGGATATGGTTCCCGAACGCACCAGGGAAGAGAACCCTAACACTCAAGGGCAGTACTCGCAGGGTGCCTAGGAAGGGATGCCCCTAAGGGCACGCAGCCCCGTACTCTTGAGAAGACCTGGCCACCACACACAACAACAATGCAGACGTCGCAATGAAGGCAAAATACCGCTCTGAATTTCAAGGCCAGAGAAGACTTCCGCTCCGGATCACATTAGCAAATGAACTGGTATGACAAATGACAAGTGGTAGCCAGCACGGGGAGGGGAGGGCTGCACAGACAAGCGACACAGCGGTGTACTGTGATGTTTGCTTGTTTCCTTGGGATTGGAGGGAGTTCTTCCTCTCTTTTCGGTTTTTCGTTGTTATTTTCTTAACATGTGGGGTTTGTTTTGTTATGCCTACTTTTCTCAGTGCCTAACCCCGGTCGATGACATAAGAAAAAAAAACCAACCACAAGGTTTTTTTTTCCAGTGCCACTGCTCCTTCCGCTCCGGATCACATTAGCAAATGAACTGGTATGACAAATGACAAGTGGTAGCCAGCACGGGGAGGGGAGGGCTGCACAGACAAGCGACACAGCGGTGTACTGTGATGTTTGCTTGTTTCCTTGGGATTGGAGGGAGTTCTTCCTCTCTTTTCGGTTTTTCGTTGTTATTTTCTTAACATGTGGGGTTTGTTTTGTTATGCCTACTTTTCTCAGTGCCTAACCCCGGTCGATGACATAAGAAAAAAAACCAACCACAAGGTTTTTTTTTCCAGTGCCACTGCTCCCTGCACCTCTCTGAGGGGGCCAGGTTTTGGCTCGTGGTCCCTGGTAGACTGAACTCCATAGACTAATGCCCTGGTCTAATGTGTCACATATTAGCCCAATAGCTCCAGGGAGCCATAGGGGGATCCTTCACAGAAAAAAAAAGTCTGCAGGATAGAAGAAACACACGTTATCCGTAGGAAAACTAACCTCATTTGGACATTTGACTTGTACTTCCTGTTGAACATACATTGTAGGTGCTGGAATTCCCACAAGTTGGGTCTGAAATTAACATAAAACAAGAAAAATTACAAATAGATATAGCAAACACTAATGTGTGTGTTTTTTATTATTATTATTACAGTATTATTATTATTATTATTATATATATAATATATATATATATATATATATATATATATATATATATATATATATATATATATATATATATATATATATATATATATATATATATGAATAATAAATAAAAGCAACCCCAAGCATATATGCAACTGAAAACTCCACACCCCATGAGGATTCGAACCCAGACAGCCAGGAGCACTATTTATTTGTGAGATATTACATGACTGATCGAACTTTGATTAGTCTGTCTAGATTGTGGCCTTGTAATTACCTAAGTGTAATTACCTAAGTGTAGTTACAGGATGAGAGCTACGCTCGTGGTGTCCCGTCTTCCCAGCACTCTTTGTCATATAACGCTTTGAAACTACTGACGGTCTTGGCCTCCACCACCTTCTCACTTAACTTGTTCCAACCGTCTACCACTCTATTTGCGAAGGTGAATTTTCTTATATTTCTTCGGCATCTGTGTTTAGCTAGTTTAAATCTATGGCCTCTTGTTCTTGAAGTTCCAGGTCTCAGGAAGTCTTCCCTGTCGATTTTATCAATTCCTGTTACTATTTTGTACGTAGTGATCATATCACCTCTTTTTCTTCTGTCTTCTAGTTTTGGCATATTTAATGCTTCTAACCTCTCCTTGTAGCTCTTGCCCTTCAGTTCTGGGAGCCACTTAGTAGCATGTCTTTGCACCTTTTCCAGTTTGTTGATGTGCTTCTTAAGATATGGGCACCACACAACAGCTGCATATTCTAGCTTTGGCCTAACAAAAGTCATGAACAATTTCTTTAGTATATCGCCATCCATGTATTTAAATGCAATTCTGAAGTTAGAAAGCATTGCATAGGCTCCTTGCACAATATTCTTAATGTGGTCCTCAGGTGATAGTTTTCTATCTAGAACCACTCCTAGATCTCTTTCTTTATCAGAATTCTTTAAAGATTTCTCACATAATATATAGGTTGTGTGGGGTCTATGTTCTCCTATTCCACATTCCATAACATGACATTTATTAACATTAAATTCCATTTGCCAAGTGGTGCTCCATATACTTATTTTGTCCAGGTCTTCTTGAAGGGCATGACAATCATCTAAATTTCTTATCCTTCCTATTATCTTAGCATCATCAGCAAACATGTTCATATAATTCTGTATACCAACTGGTAGATCATTTATGTACACAATAAACATCACTGGTGCAAGAACTGAACCCTGTGGTACTCCACTTGTGACATTTCTCCATTCCGATACATTGCCTCTGATTACTGCCCTCATTTTTCTATCAGTCAGAAAATTTTTCATCCATGATAGAAGCTTACCTGTCACCCCTCCAATATTTTCCAGTTTCCAGAACAACCTCTTATGTGGAACTCTGTCGAAAGCCTTTTTTAGGTCCAGATAGATGCAGTCAACCCAGCCATCTCTTTCCTGTAAAATCTCTGTGGCCCGATCATAGAAACTGAGTAAATTCGATACACAGGATCTTCCTGATCGAAAACCATACTGTCTGTCTGATATTATATCATTTCTCTCCAGGTGTTCTACCCATTTAGTTTTGATTAGCTTTTCCAATACTTTCACTATTACACTTGTCAATGATACAGGTCTATAATTGAGGGGGTCTTCCCTGCTGCCACTTTTGTAGATTGGAACTATGTTAGCCTGTTTCCACACGTCTGCTACGATTCCTGTACACAGGGATGCCTGAAAGATCAGGTGAAGTGGAATGCTGAGCTCAGATGCACATTCTCTCAGAACCCATGGTGAAACGCCATCTGGGCCAGCTGCTTTGTTCCTCCCGAGCTCCTTTAGCATATTTTCCACTTCATCTCTAGACACCTCTATCCGCTCTATGTTGTTCTCTGGAATTCTTATTGTGTCTGGTTCTCTGAAGATTTCATTATGTACAAACACACTTTGGAACTTTTCATTTAATGTTTCACACATTTCCTTTTCATTTTCCGTGAATCTGTTTCCCATTTCCAACCTCTGGATATTATCCTTTACCTGCAATTTGTTGTTTATGAATTTGTAGAATAGGCCCGGTTCTGTTTTACATTTATCTGCTATCCCTTTTTCAAAATTTCTTTCTGCCTCTCTCCTTACTGCTGTATAATTGTTTCTCGCATCTTTGTATCGCTGGTATGTTTGGGGGTTTGGCCTCTTCCTATACTGATTCCATTTTTGTGTCTTTTGGTCTCTTGCCCTCTCACAATTTCTGTCGAACCAATCCTGTTTTCTGGTCCTGCATCTCTGTTTTGGTATAAATTTTGTTGTGCCTTTATCATATATTTCACAAAACTTGCCATACATCTCATTCACTTCCTTGCCTAGCATCAAGTCTGTCCAATTATACTCACTAAAAAAATTTCTAAGGTCACCATAATGTCCTCTCCTGAAGTCTGGTTTTTCAACTGCTTCAACCTCCTTATTTTCTTCCAGCTTATAACGCATTGCATACTTTATTCCCAAAAAGACATGGTCACTTTTACCCAAGGGAGGAAGGTACTGAATGTCAAATATCTCTTCCTCCTTCCTGGTAAATATCAAATCTAGCATGGAGGGAACGTCCCCTTCCCTCATCCTCGTAGCTTGTTTAACATGTTGATACAAGAATGTTTCCAGGATGAGGTCTACAAATTTACAGGTCCAAAAATCTTCTGTTTTAGCTTTATATGCTTCCCAGTCTATGGATTTCAAGTTGAAGTCACCGACTATCAACAGTCGTGATCTATCGTTATCCGCTCTCGCTATAATCTCTCTCATTATTGTTATAAGACCTTCACGTTTACTATCTAGCTCCTCCTTTGACCATGTGCTGCTTGGCGGTGGACTATATGCATTTATCATCATTAGTTTATCATCCTCATAGCAGATCTCTAGTGCTATTATGTCAACTTCTTGTGGATTGGCAGTCATTATTTCCTTCACCTTTAGGTGTTCTTTTACCAGCACAGCAACGCCACCGCCTTTCCTAATTTTTCTGTCCCGTCTCCAAATTGAGTAGCCCCTTGGGAATATGACCTCATTTAAAATTACATCTTCAAGTTTTGTCTCCGTGAGTGCAACAATGTCTGGTGTCTGCAGCTGTATTACATCACTTAACTCCAGTATCTTCGATCTCACTCCATCTATGTTGGTGTATGCAATCTTCAGGAACTTGTTCCCCCTCTCCTTATTCTTCACTCCCCCTCTCTCTATTGATTTTGTTGGTTTGCCTTTATGTACCACTTTACTGGTTTGCCTACCCCTATCACTTTGTAGAAAAAAGAATTTATTTCTTCTTCATTCCTGCTCTCATTTAAATGTTTTGCCTCGGCGAGGTTCAGTTTCAGCTTCTCTCTATCTTCTTTTGAAAGATCTCGTCTTAACGACCACCCTTTCCCATCCTCATCCCTTTGCAATTTTCTAGCATTCCTTAACCTTGTGGAATGGACTTACTGTTATAAATATGGAAATACTTTCGAATCAATTCATATCGTTTACAAGTCATAAACGTATTGAAACAAGGTATATGCCAAAATCTACTTGTTTGCCAGTACATTCTAATTCTTGGCAACGGGCAAATACCCATCAAGATCGTCAGTCCCAAATATCGTGCCGTGTCTTTCACTGTCATTGGTTCCCATCTCTTGTTTGTGTTGGTCCCAGTACATGCATTGCTTTGGGAAGCATACAAATTAGTTTCATAAGTCATATATTTCAGCAAGCTTTGAGTGAGAAATAATTGAATAAGCCCCACTAGTTTAGCTAGTTTGTTTCTGAGCGGTGGGCTCATGTGTTCCGCGTCGTTTCTCGCTGTTTTCTATGGTTATTACTCATTTTCTCCCTCCAGTCATAGCCCTCTTGATGATGGGGGTGTTCTGGATTTTATATATGGGGGCGTCACTTTGTTCTTTCCTCTGCTTCTGGGCGTAGGGTGGCTTGGAGTAGCGCCTCCTGCTCCCTCTCTGTCCTGCTCCTCGTCTTCTGCTGGGCACATGCCTCTGGGCATATTTCACCTTGGACTTCCATATTTTATTCAGGTAATTACCTAAGTGTAGTTACAGGATGAGAGTTACGCTCGTGGTGTCCCGTCTTCTCAGCACTCTTTGTCATATAACGCTTTGAAACTACTGACGGTCTTGGCCTCCACCACCTTCTCACCTAACTTGTTCCAACCGTCTACCACTCTGTTTGCGAAAGTGAATTTTCTTATTTCTTCGGCATCTGTGTTTAGCTAGTTTATATCTATGACCTCTTGTTCTTAAAGTTCCAGGTCTCAGGAAATCTTCCCTATCGATTTTATCAATTCCTCTTACTATTTTGTATGTAGTGATCATACCACCTCTTTTTCTTCTGTCTTCTAGTTTTGGCATATTTAATGCCTATAACCTCTCCTCGTAGCTCTTGCCCTTCAGTTCTGGGAGCCACTTAGTAGCATGTCTTTGCACCTTTTCCAGTTTGTTGATGTGCTTCTTAAGATATGGGCACCACACAACCGCTGCATATTCTAGCTTTGGCCTAACAAAAGTCGTGAACAATTTCTTTAGTATATCGCCATCCATGTATTTAAAAGCAATTCTGAAGTTAGAAAGCGTGGCATAGGCTCCTCACACAATATTCTTTATGTGGTCCTCAGGTGATAGTTTTCTATCTAGAACCACCCCTAGATCTCTTTCTTTATCAGAATTCTTTAAAGATTTCTCACATAATAAATAGGTTGTGTGGGGTCTATGTTCTCCTATTCCACATTCCATAACATGGCATTTATTAACATTAAATTCCATTTGCCAAGTGGTGCTCCAGATACTTATTTTGTCCAGGTCATCTTGAAGGGCATGACAATCATCAAAGTTTCTTATCCTTCCTATTATCTTGGCATCATCAACAAACATGTTCATATAATTCTGTATACCAACTGGTAAATCATTTATGTAGACAATAAACATCACTGGTGCAAGAACTGAACCCTGTGGTACTCCACTTGTGACATTTCTCCTCTGATCACTGCCCTCATTTTTCTATCAGTCAGAAAATTTTTCATCCATGTTAGAAGCTTACCTGTCACCCCTCCAATATTTTCCAGTTTCCAGAACAACCTCTTATGTGGAACTCTGTCGAAAGCCTTTTTTAGGTCCAGATAGATGCAGTCAACCCAACCATCTCTTTCCTGTAATATCTCTGTTGCTCGATCATAGAAACAGAGTAAATTCGATACACAGGATCTTCCAGATCGAAAACCATACTGTCTGTCTGATATTATATCATTTCTCTCCAGGTGTTCTACCCATTTAGTTTTAATTATTTTTTCCAATATTTTGACTATTACACTTGTCAATGATACCGGTCTATAATTAAGGGGGTCTTCCCTGCTTCCACTTTTGTAGATTGGAACTATGTTAGCCTTTTTCCACACATCAGCTATAACTCCTGTAAACAGGGATGCCTGAAAAATCAGTTGAAGAGGAATGCTGAGCTCAGGTGCACATTCTCTCAGAACCCATGGTGAAACTCCATCTGGACCAACTGCTTTGTTCTTATTTAGCTCCTTGAGCATTTTTCCCACTTTGTCTCTAGACACCTCTATGTGCTCTATGTTGTTCTCTGGAATTCTTATTGTATCTGATTCCCTGAAGATTTCATTTTGTACAAACACACTTTGTAATAGGTAATAGTAATAGGTAAAAAAAAAAAAAAAACACAGGTAATAGTACATCAATGCCTACTGCCTCTGGTATGCATGGCGTTCGAGCGCACCACTAGCAATGCTCCTGGTATGTTACTTGGCGCGACTGTGTTATGGCACAGTCGTGTCTCTGCTCTGCAGGTGAGAGTGTCATGTCTGGCACCTCTGTCAGCCAGGTGCTGGTTCTTAACTTTTGGTGGGGTGCTTGCCTAGTTGTGCTTGTGGGGGTTGAGCCTTAACTCTGTGGCCCCGCCTCCTGTTGGTCGACGGTTGAGCAGTTTCCAGAGCCTCCTGGGCTCTGTCTTCTCTACGTTTGCTCCTGTGGGTGGAGTCTGCCTCCGCCACTTTGCTTCCTAGTGCTTTCCGCTTCCTATCTCCTCTGCCATTGATCAGGTTCTTTTTCATGTCTGTGGCTTCTTTGGGTACTCAGCTTCCTCCTGTGTCCCCTTGTGAATAAGAACATATGGACATAAGAACGAAGGTGACTGTAGAAGGCCTATTGGCCCATATGAGGCAGCTCCTTTTAATATCCACCCAATCCCACTCATGTACATGTCCAACCCACGCTTATAACAATTGAGGGACCCCACCTCCGCCACATTACGCGGTATTTGGTTCCACAAATCATCGAACCTGTTACCGAACCAGTCTTTACCCAGGTTTTTCCTCAATCTACACTTATCCAATTTCTACCCTTTGTTTCGTGTAAACAACATGCCACAAGGGTGGCATGTGCCACCCTTGGTCACTGCTCCATCGTTGTTTACTCTGTCACTTCCCCGCTTGGCGGGGTTGCGTTGATGACTCCTAACAGGGGGTGTTAGGTGTGGTGTGTTGTGTTTGGTCACCTTGCGTTTGTCTTCGGTGACTTTCCTCTGTCCGTGTATCTTGTTCTATGTTGTCCTGTGGGGCTCTGCCCGGCATTTCGGTGCTTTTGCTTCTGTTGTCGACACCTGGATCTTTTCCCTATCTAGACACTCATTCCTTGCCTATCTTCGGTGCCTGGCTGTGCCCTGCTGTCCATGATGTCCCTCGGGTATGTGCGACCTCCACTACACATTTTGTGGTTGGTCATGAGCATTGCATCCCAGCCACTCCTTGGTCTGTATTCAGGGTTTTCCTTGCCTTTTTCCATTTTTCCTCTTCCTATGCTACACTTGACCGTGTATCTGGGTCAGTGTTTATTGACTATCTGGATGTTGGGTGCTCAGGTGGGCTTCTGTCCATGTTCAGTTCCCTGCTTTTGGACTACCCCGGTGTTCCTTGTTGGTACCGAGTTCCTACATTTTTTCTTTGTGACTTCAGGCTTCTGTGTTGCACTGTCTGTGGGGGGTTGTGAACTTTCGGTCCACCGCTCCTGCCTTACTGGTTTCTTTTCTTGGAACAGGTAGCTGGGTTCCGGTCCTGGCTCCGGTTTGTCTTTGTTCCTTTTGCGGAACGGGTGTGTTTGCTTTCCTGCTGTTCACAGCCTGTGTAGTTCTCCTCATGGATGCCTCAGGGGCGCGAGTGTCATTCTTCCCTGCTGGAGCTTATGTTGCTTCTTTGGGTTGCGGGGTCACTATTTTTGGATTCCCACTTTGCGCTTTCGTTCGTGGTGCTCATTTTCCTCGTTGGCCTTTGCCTGGGCCCTGGCTCCTTGGTGTTTGGCCTTGGACCTTCAGGGGCCCTGGGGGGGGGGGGGGGGGTTCCTCCCGGACGGGGGGTTTCTGCTCGCCCAGGTTGGTTTTTTCGGCTCATTGGGGTTGGGGTTCCTTGTTTCCTTGGCGGCTGTTCCTTTTGGTTTTTGCCTGCCTTGTCAAGACCTGCTGCTTTCCTCGGTTCCAGTCAGGTGGGTCTTCCCGCGGCTCCGCCTCCTTTTTGTGGGTTGGTCTTGCTCTGTACAGGGTTTGTTCTTTCCCTCGAGTTTTCGTGTCTGTGGTTTTTGTCTCTCGTTTCTCGTCGCTTGTGTCAGCCCTGGTGGGTTTGTTGTTGGTCTCCCACCTGCGTGTTTTGTCTCGGGGGCGGTGTGTGGTTTTCCTGGTGGTCCTTCCGTTTTCCTAGCACTGCGAAGGGTCCTTCGGTCTCTGATAGGGCTGGCTTGCCTTCCCTTCGGGGTTGTTCCGGGACCGTCGTCTGGGACCGCGTACTGTCGCCTCGTTTTGGGTGGTGCTGGCGGAGCCGCTCCAGCTTGCATTCGGTGTTGCGATTCCTTCTGCCCTGTTCCACTTGCTGTCTTGGGGTTTCACCTCCGACCTGCTCTTGAGTTCTGGTGCCGTCCTAGTCGTTGGCCTGGATGGTCTATTTTCTTCTCCTCAGTTTGGTCTTTGGGTTGCTGCTTGGTTGGTCGGGCCGAAGGGGGGGTTGCATCCTTTGTTGGTCAGTTGCAATTTTTTCGATGTTCTCTGGGGTCGTGGATGCATTTTGGTTGTTCGCGTTGCCTTCTTCCCTCATTCCTGTTCGGGGGTTCGGGTCTGCGGGGTCTTTGTTTTGTCTGTGGTCTTGGTTTTTTAGGTTAGGGCGCGTGGTGTCTGCCTCTCGGATCCTTTCCTATTTTCCTTACCTGTGGTGAGGTGGCTCCGGGGAGCCGACGGGGCAATCCCCCAGAAAATCAGTGTTGGATGTAATGAAACGCCATTTTCTGGGTGAGTCCCAGAGGCTCCCCGGCATCCCTCCCTCCCTCCGTTCGGCGGTGTTTTTCACGTATTTTGACATCCAGCCTAAGAACTGCCAGTTGGATCGCCAGCGCGGAGGGGTCTGGGGCTCCCCCTTCCCACTCCCAGGAAGGGGGGGGGGGAAGGTTGCGCAGACGGTGCCATGGCAACATGATAACATCATGCTAGTATGATAATTTTTTTGGGGGAGTTCTGTCCACTCGTTCGGTTTTCGGTAGCAATATTTTCACCAGAATAGGGGTTTGTTTTGGGGCGCCTACCTTTCTGGGTGTCTATCCCAGTCGATGGCAGACATAGAATGCTCCCAACCAGAAGGGGGTTTCTATAGGCCATTGCTCCTCATGCCTCTCTGAGGGGGCCAGGTTCTGACTTGTGGTCCCCGGTGGGCAAGAACTCCTAGCACTTTGACTGATGCCAGAAAGTTATATATATCCATTCAGTTTGGATAGCTCCGGGGAGCCTCCGGGACTCGCCCAGAAAATGGCGTTTCATTACATTCAACGCTGGTTTTTTATGCACATCACAGTGAGGTTCCATATTAAATGGGTGCATAGTACACGGGTTAATTATAATAGTGATTTATACCTCAGCAGCTCTCGTTCGAGAATTAAGCCCCCTTGGTGAATAATGTTGCAGACCTTGTGTCCCTGCTGCACGCCGTACTTGAGGTACAACCAGTACTGGATCCCTGAAATAAATATAAAATTAGTATTCTGCAAGTGGAATAAAGCCTGATTCTGACATATTGTAATGATCTAAAGTTTGAAGTGAGCTTTCAAGTTGCTCAACCATATTTGCTAAATTTTTACAATTGAGCTTATCCATACTATTAGTCAAGCAAGGTTTTCAACCATTTAAAATATATAGGTTTAGGAATAAGGTGTCATCAATATTTATGTATAAAGTGTCTGGTAATTAAATACACTGTACTGTAAAATGATAATCATAAATGCCTATAGTCCACTCTCCATGAGCTTGCAGATGTAAGAGGTCAAGCTGATCAGACAATAGTTTTCTGCTGAGCTCTTTCTGCCTTTTTTGAAAATAGGGGTGACAGTTGCATATTTCCAATCTAAGAGAACTATGCCTTGGTTCAGAGATTTTCTAAAAAGGTGCATTAGTGGTGGACATAGTTCATCTGCTTGTTTCTTTATTTGGACTGAATTCCATCCACACTAGGGAAAGGGGGAGTTAAGAACAAGGGGAGAGGAAACATATATACACTAACAAATGTCTTTGTTGAGCGTGATAAAAACTACTGGACCTAAATGATGTATTACAGCTGCAAATGCCAAACATTGTTGCACTCGAGACAAAACCCAAAGATGATATTTTAACCCTTACACAGGGGCTATGGACAAATATTTATATATGCCTGTGCAGAAAAAAACCCAGTGATGAATGTACTGAAACACCATTTTCTGGGTGAGACCTGGAGGCTCCCTGGAGCTATACCAGGCTGATGTGTATATATATTAGACCATGGCAACAGTCAGTCAATGGAATTCTAGGCCTACCAGGGACCAAGAGCCAGAATCTGGCCCCCTCAGAAAGGCACGAGGAGCAATGGCCTTTAGACTCTCCCTATGTGGTTGGAAGCAGTCTGTCTGCTATCTATCAGGTCAGACACCCAGAAAGGTAGGAATCCCAAAACAAACTACAGCTGGTTAAAAATTGCAAACCAAAAACTGAACGAGCAGGCAGAACTCCCCAATCAGAAAACAAGTAAACAAGCATGACTTCATCACAGCTGCCATACCGCTGTCTGCGCAGCTCCCCCCCCCCCTCCCCAGGAGGGGGAAGGGGAAGCCCCAGACCTCCCGCGCTGACTACCCAACCCCAGTTCTGAGGCTGTTGTGATGAAACGCCAATTTCTGGGTATACCCCACTGACTTCCTGACATCTCTTCCCCAGGGCATTAGGGGCATTTTCAGCTTCATAGAACTCAGAGTGGAGCAGCTGCCTGACCCAAGGCTGCGTCCCTACTCTCCCCAAATGGAGGGGAAGGGGGGAAGTAGATTGAACAAGCTAGTGCTTTTTTCATAAATATTCAATTGTTTACAGTGTTGTAGGAGTTTTTTTGGCAATTCTTGAGGCTGCAATCTCTGCTATAACCAGTATTGGTTTGCTTTGTTTCACTGACTTTCTGGGTGCTTCCCAGTTGGTGATAAGACATGAATAAATGCAGAACAATTTTACCATAAGTGTCACTGCTCCCTGTGCTTTGATTTGAGGGGGAGGGGCCAGGTTCTGGCCCAGAATGAACTGAAACAGCTTCACATTTCCCATTTCTAATGTCTAAGTTTAGTGTCTGTGCTTGTAATAATTGTTAACATTAACTTTGTAAGTGTGAATAAACCTTAGTATAATACATTTAATTCTTCGATACAAACTGGGATTTATTGCTAATTGCTACTCACAATGTCCAAGTGGGTTGTGGTGCAGATCTGGAATGAGAAAACTTCTGTATCCCTTATAGTAAAACAAAATACTGGAACAGTATTATACCTTTACTGACACACCAATACTCATCAAGGAATTATGCTGCTCAAAACACTGTATGACAACATATGTCATAAATTATTGAAGACCTGAGCTTGATGAGTTTACATGAACACATTCTCTGCTGTATATACAGTATTCACATATAACATGGAATGAAATGTATTATGAGTATGTGGCCTAGATGAATACAGTTCATGGAAGGAATTCACAAACCCTTTTTATCCTTGTCCATGAACAAGGATAACATGAACATGTTATTATCCGTGAACAAACCAATGCTTATGAACAAACCCATGCTTATGAACAAACCCATGGTTGTGAACAAACCCATGCTTATGAACAAACCCATGCTTATGAACAAACCCATGGTTGTGAACAAACCCATGCTTATGAACAAACCCATGCTTATGAACCCATCCATATGAACAAATCCATGCTTATGAACAAACTTATGCTTATGAGCAAACCCATAGTTATGAACAAACTTATGCTTATGAGCAAACCCATAGTTATGAACAAATCCATGCTTATGAACAAACCCATAGTTATGAACAAATCCATGCTTATGAACAAACCCATAGTTATGAACAAACCCATGCTTATGACCAAACCCATAGTTATGAACAAATCCATGCTTATGAACAAACCTATGCTTATAAGCAAACCCATGCTTATGAACAAACCCATAGTTATGAACAAACCCATGCTTATGAACAAACCCATGGTTGTGAACAAACCCATGCTTATAAGCAAACCCATGCTTATGAACAAACCCATAGTTATGAACAAACCCATGCTTATGAACCCATCCATATGAACAAATCCATGCTTATGAACAAATCCATGCTTATGAGCAAACCCATGGTTATTAACAAGCCCATACTTATGAACAAATCCATGGTTATGAACAAACCCATGCTTATGAACCCATGGTAATGAACAAACCCATGGTATGAACAAACCCATGATCATGAACAAACTCATGGTTATGAACAAACTCATGCTTATGAACCCATGCTTATGAACAAACCCATGCTTATGAACAAACTCATGGTTATGAACAAACCTATGGTTATGAACAAACCCCAGAGTTATGAACCCATGATTATGAACAAACCCATACTTATGAACAAACCCATGGTTATGAACAAACCCCATGGTTATGAACAAACCCCATGGTTATGAACAAACCCCATGGTTATGAACAAACCCCATGGTTATGAACAAACCCATGCTTATGAACCCATGGTTGTGAACAAACCCATGCTTATGAACCCATGGTTATGAACAAACCCATGCTTATGAACCCATGGTTATGAACAAACCCATGCTCATGAACAAACCCATGCTTATGAACAAACTCATGGTTATAAACCCAGTTATGAACAAACCCATGCTTATGAACAAACTCATGGTTATAAACCCATTGTTATGAACAAACCCATGCTTATGAACAAACTCATGGTTATACCCCCATTGTTATGAACAAACCCATGCTTATGAACAAACCCCATGGTTATGAACCCATGGTTATGAATAAACCCATGCTTATGAACCCATGGTTATGAACAAACCCATGCTTATGAACAAACCCATGCTTATGAACCCATGGTTATGAACAAACCCATGGTTATGAACAAACCCATGCTTATGAACAAACCCATGCTTATGAACCCATGGTTATGAACAAACCCATGGTTATGAACAAACCCATGCTTATTTTGCACAACTACCTAGTCTTAGAATTGTTTGGATCAAGTTCCCTTACATTCCCACCTGAGTTTGAAACTTTGAATAGAAGCACAAGTGTGCTTGTGAAGAATTTGATACTTCTGAAATAGTATAAATAGGCCAATACAACTGATAAATCAGCACAACTCTACAGCAATTATAGTCCAGAAAACTGCATTAGAGCATCATTGTATATGACGTACCAGTGAACTTACCCTCCAGACATAATATGGGGAACATATCCAGGTTGATTTTGTCCAGCACTTATCATAGAACGAGCAAGGGACTTTCGCTGATGGTATTCCTCACGATTCTTTACTGGCTTTGCCCATGTTATTTCTAATTCACAACCATGAACAATACGTCCTGTTGAAAAAATAAATTTGTTTCATTGATTAACATTAAACACAAGAACATCATGACAAGAAAAACTGTGCATGGTTCTTCTGATGAACAGAGGTACTTTGCCTTCCCCTAATGTTTCTCTGATGAGCAAGTACAATTCCTACCTACCATTGTTGGTTCTTCTCTGATGAGAAACAGCACTCATCCTTTCTCAGATGGATTTCTTCTTACAAAGAGCAAAGAGGTGCCAAGCATTCCTTAATAGTTCTTAACAATGAACAAAAAGATGTCTTGCTTATTCTTGCTAGTTCTTCTCTGACTACATACACCAACACACTTTTGATTGTCCAACATACATAATATATTATATACTGTGTGTGTGTGTGTGTGTGTGTGTAATTACCTAAGTGTAATTACCTAAGTGTAGTATGAGAGCTACGCTCGTGGAGTCCCGTCTTCCCAGCACTCTTTGTCATATAACGCTTTGAAACTACTGACGGTCTTGGCCTCCACCACCTTCTCACTTAACTTGTTCCAACCGTCTACCACTCTATTTGCGAAGGTGAATTTTCTTATATTTCTTCGACTTCTGTGTTTAGCTAGTTTAAATCTATGACCTCTTGTTCTTGAAGTGCCAGGTCTCAGGAAATCTTCCCTGTCGATTTTATCAATTCCTGTTACTATTTTGTACGTAGTGATCATATCACTTCTTTTTCTTCTGTCTTCTAGTTTTGGCATATTTAATGCTTCTAACCTCTCCTCGTAGCTCTTGCCCTTCAGTTCTAAGAGCCACTTAGAAGCATGTCTTTGCACCTTTTCCAGTTTGTTGATGTGCTTCTTAAGATATGGGCACCACACAACAGCTGCATATTCTAGCTTTGGCCTAACAAAAGTCATGAACAATTTCTTTAGTATATAGCCATCCATGTATTTAAATGCAATTCTGAAGTTAGAAAGCATAGCATAGGCTCCTTGCACAATATTCTTTATGTGGTCCTCAGGTGATAGTTTTCTATCTAGAACCACTCCTAGATCTCTTTCTTTATCAGAATTCTTCAAAGATTTCTCACATAATATATAGGTTGTGTGGGGTCTATGTTCTCCTATTCCACATTCCATAACATGACATTTATTAACATTAAATTCCATTTGCCAAGTGGTGCTCCATATACTTACTTTGTCCAGGTCTTCTTGAAGGGCATGACAATCATCTAAATTTCTTATCCTTCCTATTATCTTAGCATCATCAGCGAACATGTTCATATAATTCTGTATACCAACTGGTAGATCATTTATGTAGACAATAAACATCACTGGTGCAAGACCTGAACCCTGTGTTACTCTACTTGTGACATTTCTCCATTCCGAAACATTGCCTCTGATTACTGCCCTCATTTTTCTATCAGTCGGAAAATTTTTCATCCATGTTAGAAGCTTACCTGTCACCCCTCCAATATTTTCCAGTTTCCAGAACAACCTCTTATGTGGAACTCTGTCGAAAGCCTTTTTTAGGTCCAGATAGATGCAGTCAACCCAACCATCTCTTTCCTGTAATATTTCTGTGGCTCGATCATAGAAACTGAGTAAATTCGATACACAGGATCTTCCAGATCAAAAACCATACTGTCTGTCTGATATTATATCATTTCTCTCCAGGTGTTCTACCCATTTAGTTTTGATTAGTTTTTCCAATACTTTCACTATTACACTTGTCAATGATACAGGTCTATAATTGAGGGGGTCTTCTCTGCTGCCACTTTTGTAGATTGGAACAATGTTAGCCTGTTTCCACACGTCTGCTACAATTCCTGTACACAGGGATGCCTGAAAGATCAGGTGAAGTGGAATGCTGAGCTCAGATGTCCATTCTCTCAGAACCCATGGTGAAACTCCATCTGGGCCAGCTGCTTTGTTCTTACTGAGCTCCTTTAGCATATTTTCCACTTCATCTCTAGACACCTATATCCGCTCTATGTTGTTCTCTGGAATTCTTAATACTTTCCTAGTAAATATTGTAGCACATGGTTTAATGGCCAAAAATTTTAAACTGATTGGTTGCTATGGTTGAAGCACTATACTGTATATTGTATTTGGAGTTTTGTTTCAACTCCAGTAAAATCATCATTGCTACTGTTATGTATTATATATATAGCACTTGAAATAACTTCAGTAATTAAGAACGATAAATCTTCATGGCCTTTCTTAATTCAACATAATGACAAATGATAAACTTTGACTCCATTTTTACCACAGTTAACTTATGACACTTAACACTGTACATTCATTTGCACAGTGGTCTACACCCTCATCTCACAAACTAAGGACCCAATTTCAATCCTCAAGCAGGACAGAAACAGTTGAACACATTTCCTTTCACCTGATGATTGTTTACTTAGCAGTAAAAGTAACTCGTTCTCCACAGCAAGGCTTCTTTACGAGAAGGGAGCAGTTAACTGTGTTATCTAACAGTGTATACCGTAATTGCACCCACCCCTGCTGTTGATGCATGTTGGAGTTTCATGAGGGGTGCACTTTGGCCAAGTTAATGACTGTTCAAATTTCAAATTCAAATTTTTATTCTAAAGAATGTGTGTACAAAGAACATAAAAGTAATGTACAATTGTAGGTACAGGAGTAACACATACCTGTATCAATGAAGCCACTATTTATTTATTTATTTATTTATTTATTTATTTATTTATTTATTTATTTATATACAAGAAGGTACATTGGGTTTGTGAGGATACATAGCATGGTATTTACATTCTTGTAAAGCCACTAGTACGCACAGCGTTTCGGGCAGGTCCTTAATCTAACAGATAATTTTAAGTACTGTACGTAAATTCTAGCAGAATTAATTAAATGATACCAAATACATTGCAAGAAAAAAATGAGGAGAGAGATTAGTAGGTACAGTATATTAAAGTACATTGGTAGCTCCGATTGATTGCATTGACAGCTTGATTGGTAATTTAAATAAAGATTAATAGGCACCATACAGCAAATTGATAGCACATATAAGATGACAACAATGATCACAATGGTAAGGTTGTTTGGATTAGGCACATAAAGATTGAGAGATTGGGTAGCACTAGATACAGTGCAATTTTAAAGCAACAAGGTCGGAAATTATAAAGATGAAATTAGGTACTTTTTATTTTATTTTTTTAACTTTTTTGTTTTGTTTTTAGTTTGTGTTTTTTTGTTCCAAGTCTAGTACCCTTGAGGAGACACCAACTCTTATTTACAAAAAAGCCTCCAGATCTTTAGCTCCTGCCATTGCATTGCTCTTCAACAAGTCACTAGAGCTCCAAACCTTTCCAGATATTCTAAAAAAAGCAAGAGTAACCCGAGTCCACAAATGTGGTGATCCCACTGATGTTAACAATTACAGACCTATACCAATTCTGCCAAACTTGTCAAAAATATTTGAAAAACTAATCTACAAGCAGCTTTACTCTTATCTAGCCAAACTCAATATACTTAGCTCTTGTCAATATGGCTTCAGACCCCAAAAAAGCACTAACGATGCACTTATTAGTATGATTAACTTGATACATGCAGCTCTTGATAAAAAATGAGTTCCCTGTTGGGTTATTTGTGGTTATTTGTGGACCTGTGTAAGGCTTTTTGACACTGTCAAAATACCACCAAAACCTTCTTCTTAAATTACAGCATTATAGAGTCAGAGGTCACTCCCTGCAATACCTTAAGTCTTACCTTACTGACAGGCTCCAGTATGTTTCTGTGAATAATTCAATTTCTCCCACCCTACCCATCAACATTGGTGTTCCCCAGGGCAGCATACTTGGCCCTCTCCTCTTTCTCATCTACACTAATGATCTTCCAAATGCCTCCCAACATCTCAAACCAATTCTATTTGCTGACGACACGACCTTCATTTACTCCAGTCCTGACGCACTTGCTCTAAATGTTACAGTGAATACTGAGCTAAATAAAGTCCATCACTGGCTAACTGCCAACTCACCCTCAATATTGACAAAACTTTCTATATTTTGTTTGGCAATAAATCCTCAAATCAAATAAATCTCAGGATTAACAATACCCAAATTTGTAACAAAGTAGATGGCAAATTCCTTGGCGTTCTCAAGTGACCTCAAGCTGAATTTCCAGGGACACATTCTAAATATATCAAAAAAAGTTTCAAAAACTGTTGGCATTCTTTCTAAGATCAGATATTATGTACCTCGCCCTGCCCTGGTGACGCTCTATTACTCCCTCATCTATCCTTATTTCAACTATGGTATTTGTGCTTGGGGTTCTACTACCCAAAATCATTTACGTCCTCTAATTACTCAACACAAAGCTGCTATTAGGACAATATCTAACTCTGGCCCCAGACATCACTCTGTACCCTTACTCAAATCTCTGAATATGTTAGATATCAAGTCACTACACATCCTCTCATGTGTATTTTATATATATAAAATGCTGAACTGTAATGTCAATCCTGACCTTAAAAGCTTCCTAGAAAGTTGTAACAGATCCCATGAGCACCACACCAGAAACAATTACTTACTTGATATTCCAAGAGTATGACTTAATCAAACTAGAAATGCTTTACAAATCAAGGGACCTAGAATGTGTAATGACCTTCCCAATTATGTTAAAGACTGTACCTCTCCCAACCAGTTTAAGATAAAAACTAAGTACTACCTAATTAACTCCATGTAACCTACCTCACCCCCAATATGTCAACCCATGTCTACTATTTTAAACACTGCTGTTTGTTGACCAAACTGTATTTTTGCTTTTTTTCTGCCATGTTTCTCCCCTTTTCTGGGGGGAGCCCCGTCGGCTCCCCGGAGCTATCCCAGGCTGATATGCTAATGTCAGACTTTGGCATCAGTCATGTGTATGGAGTTCTTAGGCCTACCGGGGACCACGGCCAGAACCGGGCCCCCTCAGAGAGGCAAGGGGAGCAATGGCCTATAGAAGCCCCCGTGTAGTTGGAAGCATTCTATGTCTGCCATCGACCGGAACAGGCACCCAGAAAGGTA